GTGACACTTAAATTATTAGCATTGAGACATATATTAAAATTCTAATAATGATGAAACCTCTTGAAAGTATGTGAATTGTGAACCTGTCACATAACTATACTTATTGGCAGGTAGTTGATGGATATGTAGATGTCAGAATTTAACAGTATTCTGACACTTCCGGGTTGACGGAAAAACAACACGCCCTTTTTTTCTGACACGGCTTCCTCACGCTACATTTTTTTTTAAGCTTCCTAGATCTTCTGACTGGCTACAAACAATTCTCTCGCTAAACTTCTCTACACGTGTACCGAACCTGGACTGTTAAACCGCTGATCTCCATTCTCCTTCCCTTGACCTCCCACTACCTGTGATATTGTTCCTACTTCCTCAAGTCGGATTACATTACTGGAAAAACCTTTCAAGGAAACAGCAAATTATATAATTTGGATTGTATCTTTCTTCTGGCATTTCAATTTTATTGCAAATCTATTTCCTTGCCTCCTATGTTCATCTAATGAACTATCTAATCTTTGATATTCCATCTATAAACTGGTCTTCGCTTACCTAAGCCATCTGCAGCAACCACTCTGCTTAATTGTTCCAGCTTCTACCTTCAAATCGTATTGCTTAAAGCTACAGGAATTCTTCTCAACAAACTATCTTCATATTGTATTCCTTAAAGCTACAGGATCTATCCTCAGCAATCCACCTTCAAATCAAATTCCTTTATTAGGAATTGTTCTATTTAAATTCTAATTCTTATTCAGATCATCCTCTAAGGTTTGTCCTAATAATTTCTGCAGTTGAGTTCCACTCCAAATCCATAGGTAGCATAACAGTAGACCGATGTTGCCTGAAAATTAATGAGATAGCCCAGGGACAGATAAGTGATGAATGTAGACATGTGATGAACATAGTGAGGGTCAAGTTGATAAACCAAGCTATATGTGAAAATTTTAACTGAGAGTAGGATAGTTGGAGAAAACGGAAGAGTAGCAAAATTGGGGAACCAGAAATGTGTATGTAATTAGGATCAGTACTAACAAGAATATATGATGAACAGTATTTACATATCACCACAGTTGACAGATACATTCAGTAGAACTGTAATCGAGCTAACAAGTGTATTGGAGCCAACCACCAACAACCGCTAATTAGGATAATTAAAACAAAAATAAACCTGCTTTAGCAGATTATCCCCATGATGGCTAAATATGTACTGTGAATGTATGCACAGGTTAATATTGTATTTCTTAACCCTAAGTATGATCCTGACATAAATAATACAGTCAGTTGTGACACCTGCTATGTAGGGGAATTGCATTGTATGGAAATCGATATATCCTAGTGAGGGGCCTAAAACCGTAAACTGAAAGGAGGTATTGTTGTGATGCTGTGTTTTTAATGGAATGCTGAATGGTATT